TCTCCTGTCGTTCAAGGGCTCCTCTCACCTGCCGCAGCAGCTGAAGTTCACCACCTCCGACTCCTGCGACCGCATCAAGGATGAGTTCCAGCTCCTGCAGGCCCAGTACCACAGGTACGTGCTCCCCACGCCGCCGTGCCCGGCCCAGCCCGGGTCTGCCCGGTGGGACTGGCAGCCGGGGGCACGAAGGGCAGGAGTCATTCTGATTCTTCTGCTTCGTCCCTTGGCTGCACGGACCAAACGGGAACACCACGGAAGGGACCCTCCTTGGGTCATGTGGCTCAGGTCACCCTTGGCTAGAGGAGAAGCCAAGGCAGGGGATTAGTCGTGTCCATTTGGGAGCCCAGCAAGGAGAACGTGCATCTTCCCTCTCCAGCCAAGGTCTTTCCTCCGAGCGCTGCTTAGCCAGGACAGTGCAGAGGCTTTCCAGGACTCCCCTGCCTTGCTGGGAGTTTTCCTTGGTTCTTCTTGCTGGCTGCCGTTACTGGGCAGCGAAAAAAAAACAGGCCTCCCCTGCCTTGCTGGGAGTTTTCCTTGGTTCTTCTTGCTGGCTGCCGTTCTTGGACAGCGAATGCTGCAGGGAGTGCTTAAATCCAAAAGCTTCCACTTTTCTGCAGGTGTGTGTGTGTGGAAATACTCCTGCTGACCCAAAAGCTGGCTTGGAACACTCTTGTTGCCTTGAGTGTGTGCATGTCTGAAATAAAGGTGAAGCTCTTGGGTTAAATCAGCTGGGTGATGCCCTCTGCTACAGCCCAGCAGGCTGCCAGGCACCGTTAGCGGCGTGTGCCGTGGGGCTGTGACTTCCCTGTCTGCCTTCCCCTGGCTCGGGCTCTGCCAGGCAGCCAGGTCACAGGTTTGTGGTGCTGCCGTTCTGGCAGGAGTGGACAGAAAAACTGCTGGGAAATGGCCATTTCCTGGTGTTCCCGTGTCTATGGGCAGTGCCAGCGAGACACCCAAGAAACATGCCCACTGGAGGGGAAAAAAAACCCCCCCCCCCCCACTCCCTAGTACTTAATCTGCTTGAGAAGAAGCAGGTTTTTTGTAGGTGAAGCTGTTTCTTGTTTGAAACATAAAACCGCAGCACATGCCGGCTGCAGTTGCTCGGCTGGTGAGTTGGAGTCTCATAAAAGATTGAGAGCAGCAGCACTTTGTCTGAAGGGTGTGAAGAACCAAGGGGAGAGAAAAAAAATCCTTTCTTCTAGAGGGATGTGCTGCACTTGGGCCTCCTCCCCACCAAACGGAAACGGATCTGGCTTTGATTTTGAGGTTGTATTGGGGCATCTCTTGAGTGCTGCAGCCAGGCCAGTGCTAGAAGCTGTCCCCAGCTGCCAGTGATCAGCTGAGAAAAGGCAAACCCCTCGATGGGCAGCCACCTCTGCTCCTGCCCAGCTTTAGCTGAAAGGATTGCCATGGCAAGGTTTGCCTGAGGAACGTCCAGCTGGTGGGTAGCCTTGCACTGCTTCTGAACATGTGTTGGTGGGACTCCAGCTGGGAAGGTGGGAGTGGGCCCCGTGACCCAGCTCCAGCCACCCCTTGGAGTTGGGTTGGCAGTGTCTTGAGAAGCCAGGATGAGGCCGTGCAGGAAGCAGCTGCTCTGTGGCGATCAACTCTCTCACCTCCTGTTTGTGGTTTTCTTACTGTTTTCTGACTTTTCAGCTTGAAGTTGGAATGTGACAAACTAGCCAGTGAGAAATCGGAGATGCAGCGTCACTACGTCATGGTAAGGACCAGCCCCGACAGCGCGTGGGTGGGGGCTGCAGTGCTGAGCAGGTGCCTCTGCCTGGGTTTTGCCTGGCCAGGAGCCTTTGCCCCGTGGAGAGGCAGGTCTCTAGGCAAGGCTAGCGTTGGCTTTTCTGAAAAACAGGGCATTTTTGTGTGGGTGTTGTCTGCGTGCAGTGTATTGTTGAAGTGCAGGGAAGTAGCAGAGAATTGTTGGATGTAGAAAACGGATGGGCCCAGTGTCTGGCTGCTTGATGGGTGGCCATGGGGCCCTTGGCCTTGTACAGACTGGCTGCTTGTCCTCACTGCCTGTGCCCTTGGGAAGGTGACAGCTCTTAAGCACCTGCAAAGGAGCTGCAAGGTGCTGGTGTGCAGGTGCCTGGGGACTCTGGGAGAGTCATGGCCAGTGAAAGAAAAATCAGTGCTCTGAGAAGTTCTGAAGCTGGGAAACCCCACTAGCCTGGTGGGAATTAGAAGCAGAAACCAGTTGCTGTGCAAGAGCTAAACTCTCCACACTTTCTTGTGACCCCAGCAGCCTTGCAGAGCCATGATGTTAAGCGTTAGCACATCTTGCTGGTGCACAAGTCCCAGTACAAAGTGTGCAAATCCCAGGGCAGTGCCTGGTAAAGGCACGAGACGTGCCACACATGGGCAGCAGGCTTGGCCAGAATGCTAAAGAGAAATCCACCAGGAAACAGCCATGTTCTTGTAGGCAGGGTGATGGTTTGCCTACCAGGTGGTGCCTCTGTCTTCCCACGTGTGCAGAAGCCCTCATAGCAGAGGGGAGTGATGCCAGGCAAGGTTGGGATCTGTTCCTTTTCTTCCAAGGAGTTAACAGGAGGTTGGGATACTGTCCATAAAGATGGGCTGGTGCCTGCTTGCTAGCTGCACCTGCCCTAGAGGGAAGAGAGAGGGTGTAGAAATTAATATGGCAGCTCTTCAGGGAGAGCGAGGACTTTAAAACCAGAAATAAGGGAGCTGGTCCCTCCATCCTCCTGTACTGCCTGTGTGTCCAGGCTCCAAGGCTGTGAGGAGCAAGGTATGCTTGGGGCTGGGACCAAGGAGAAGAGGTCAGAGCTTTCCTCTTATATTAATGGAGAAGCCTGCCCCATTCTCACTGATAATGGATTGCTTCCTGGGCCTTGCAGCCTGCCTGGAGACTCTCATCTCCAGGTGGGGCTGAGATAGATTTGTTTATTTGTTTGTTATGATATTTTTTTTTTTTTTTGGTTTTAGTTCCCCCCCCCCCCCCCCTTAATGCTGATGGTCACCAGAATTCATTCAGGTTCCCATCAGCAGGTCAGCAGCAGAGGGGCAGGGCTGTTGCTCATTGTGCAGCACTGGAGGCTTTGCAGGCGCAGCAGCTCCTGCCTTGTCTGCGTGGCTGGGCTGGAGTTGCACAGAGCTGCTGTCGCTCACAGCAAGTCACGGGAAGCGCAGAGGAGGGTTTCTGTGAATGTGCAGAGCTGCGACAGCTGCTCTGATTTTTGAATAAGTCACAATTAGCAGCTTAGGGGTCGGGCTTCTGCTTCCTGCTGTCTTCAGAATGCAAAGAAGCCTCCAGAGCCAGCAACGGTGTTTGAGCAGACTGAGATTGTGGGGATGCTGAGCTGGGCACTTCTCAGACTTGTGGCATTGGTACCAACACGCCAGTGATCTTGAATTAAATGAGCGTGGATATGGATTTTTCCTTCCCTTTGGAAGAATCAGGATTGCAGCCTGTGAGCTGAGGGAGGAGATTTCTAAACTCTCAAACATCAGCCTTAAAACAGCTTCTTCCAGGGGTCAGGAATTAGCTTCTCTTGCCAATAGATTGCCTGTTGCTGCTCTGCAGGGATTTTCTGTGTGGGGTTTTTTTGTGTTGGGGTTTTTTTTGTGGTTGGTTTTTTTGGTTGGGTGTTTTTTTTTTTTTTTCCACACAGCTGGAACTGTGCAGCTGGATGTGTTACTTGCTAAATGAAGCCCAGTTGTGATCTCTTCCATTTGCTGCTGAAGCAGCCACGTGGGCTTTAGGATATTGGCTAGGCAAAGCTTGTAGAGTCAGGCTGCCTCGTTTGGCTGTAGATGTGAAAGTCTGTGGAGCCCTGAGCCACCTCCCAGGTTTGAAGCAGCATCACTCGCTCTCACCTTGACGTGGACTGCTGAAAAGTGTCTGTGAGGGACGTTGCCTGGGGCCCAGTCAGCAAGTTCCCAGATCTCTGTCTGCAGCAGTGTGAGGCTGGAGCAGGGTGGGCAGGGAGCGCCTGGGCTCGATGCTTCTGCCTTGGACCTGGAGCGTGTCTCTGCCTGTGTTTGCCTCCTGCTGTCTTTGCTTCTTAGGGCTGGACTCTTCTCTCCTTCCATCCTTGCCCAGCCTTTGTAGAAGACCTTGCTAGGAAAGCAGGAGTAGTTCCCAGCACTGCTGTATGATGAAGCATCTTTTGGTGGAGATTTGACTTACCATTTTTTTTTGTTGTTCTCTTCTCCCCACTCTACAGTATTACGAGATGTCTTACGGGCTGAATATTGAAATGCACAAACAGGTAGGGAGGGGGACGGCATTTCCAAGTGCTCTGAGTCCTGGGGAGGGTGGGTTGTCTGCTGTGCTTTGCCCTCTGTCATTTTAGTGGTATTTCAGGAACTAGAAATGCCATGAGTCTGTAAAATGTCAGAGCTGCCTTTGAAATGCAGGGAAACCCCCACCTCTCAGGATCACAGTGCCAGACTGATGGCTCCCACCCCAGGCTGGGGGCAAGCTCTGGCTCTCCCCAAGGCCTGAACAGGTATTTAAACACCAGGCAAAGCAGCGCAGGCAGGATGTGGAGTTGTGGCTGAGTCAGTAGGTAGATGTGAGCCTGGTGTGGAGGGCAGGAGATGACCCCAGATCCCTCCCAACCTTCCTCCCAGGCCCCAGGTGGCTTCCTGGCCCTGCTGCCTTCCCCAGTGCCTGGGAAGGCTCGTTGTGATCACCCCGACATGAGAAACCCCTTTGTCTCCCCCAGGCTCTTGCTGCAGTTAGGCCAGAGAGCACTTCTCTTGGGCTGTGATGAGGTAATGTGATGGCAGAGCTTCTCAGAAAGCCTCCTTGTGATGGAGCCTCTGCTGCAGCCCGGATAAGTTTGTTCATTACCCTCACTGGTGGTTAAGTTGTCAATTATCCCCAGTGGCTAATTACCTGTGCTGTTAACATGAGCCTCCACTGAGCCTGACTCCATGTGGCTGCAGTTTCCAGTCACAGTCATCTGTGTCATGGCTCAGTTATAAGCCTCTTAGCACAATTCTGCTCCCCACAAAGGCATTGGTACCTTCCATCCCATCACCCTCATTGGTAAACCCATGAAACTGGCTTCCCTGGGAAAACCTGCATCTTGGTAAAGGATCTAAGCCACGAATCCTCACTGCTGTCCCATGAACTGTCTCTCAGCCTAGTCCTCTCCCCTGGGGTGCTGGTGGGGCCCCCTTGGCTGGTTTTGGTGTATGCTTTAACCCCTTGTCTCTCTATTTCTTTTGACTCCATTGGAAAGTGATTTGAAAGGAGTTGGTAGCTTTACTTGTTCCCAGGAGAAAAGCATTTGACACACCAAAATTTGCCACCTGCTTGCATGAGGCTAGCAAAGAAGCTGCCAAGTCCCTGTGGTCCCCCCTCAATATCCCCAGACCTGCAGCTTGGCCATGGGGAGTCTGGCAGTGGGGAGGGGGAGTCTGAGGAGGCTGAGCAGCAGGTCTGTGGGGCAGAGCAGGGGTCTCAGCAGCACACGTGTCTGTGTCCACATGGCAGATGTAATTCAATACATCCCCACCTGGGTCTCTAATGTTTCCTCTCTGGTTGCTCTCGATTTGTTAAATGAGTATTGGAGACCCAGAGAGGGTCTTTGCAGTCAGCAGCACGGATTCACTTAATGATGTAGGGGAGGGATCTTAGGGGCGAGGAGACCCCCCCCCCTCCCTTGGAACCAGGACACTGCCAGCATCTTTCCAAGAGGAGTGTGCTTCCTTAGGGCTGTTTGGGAATCGGGGAGGGTGAAGGTGGGGCCGCCGGTGCTGAGGGTGGTCAGTCCCAAGCTGGCTGATGCCGTTGCTCTCCATTCTTCCCACGTTCCAGGCTGAAATTGTCAAGAGGCTAAATGGGATCTGTGCGCAGGTTCTGCCCTACCTTTCACAAGAGGTGAGTGAGGCTCTGGCTCGCGGGGGGGAGCGGAGGTCCCATCCTGCTGCGGGGGGCAGTGAGGTGCTGTGTCCCTCCTGCCCCTGGTCAGGGAAACTTCATCACTTGCTCTGAGCCCCTGTGTGGGGACGAGCCCTTTGAGCAGCCGCTGTGCCGTGGCCAACGTGCCCATCCATCCCCTCCCAGTCCCCTCTGCTGGCGGCTGCAGACAAAGATGGGCTCTGTTCTCTCCCGCCCATGACTCCTGAGTCATCGGCCACTTCTGCACCAGCAGTGGGAGCTTCGGGCAGCTTATTGGGGGAGGGGGGAGTTTAAAAAAAATACCTCCATATGGCTCCTCCTTGAGATCTAGTTCATCTGCCTCATTAATTAATGCTGCTGATAGGCTCCTCCCACTCCCCTGAGAAATTAATTGGGAGGGCTGGGAAGTTGCTGCCCGAGGCAGGAGGAAGATGAAGCGCCTCTGGTGCTGTATCTGTCCATCTCCTCGCACAGCCCTGCAGAGACTGAGCTCCAGGGCTGTTCTCGTGGCTGGTTTTGGTCAGGATTAGCTGTGGGACGGAGGCTGTTTCTTGCTCTGGGTTAGCTGCGGGGTTGGGGGACAGGCTGGGGTTTTTCCCACCCCCTTTTTCT